CTGGCTCGAGGTGACTTATCCGTATGACTATTGGCATGGCATCGCGAACACTGAACCGCATCTTCCACACCACAGCTAAGAGTTTGGGTAAGCGCTGGAAACTCAAGAGAAAATAACCAGTAGTAATTTTTTTTTATGAAACACGATCTGATAAATAGTTTTGAGTGAAATAGACGATTTTTTCAGTTTATTATTATTATTATTATTATTATTATTTGTATTATTATTTTTATTTTTTATATATTTTTTTTAATTTGAAGTTTTAGATGTCATAGGTGTGGTCGCCATATTAGTTGTTTATCTTTATAACTGTGAGTATTCCTTGGTATGGATTCCGTGTTGAGAGATTAAATTACTTTAATATTCTGAAGAAGATTATAAATGTCTGACATTTTTTTCCTGTGAATAATAAATGGTTTATATCTCTGTCGGTACGTTCGTATTTTGAACATTGTAACGTATTTTTTGCAGATTAATGTTTTAATACTGGTGACGTTATAAACTTTAATGCAATAGTATGATGATTACTAAACTTGTAACTACCGGCTTGAGATAAACATTCGTGGAGTGAGGGTTGTTGTTGTTGAACTCGTGTAATTGAGAACATCGAGTTTCCAATACCTTCCGTTTCACTTACAAGTCTGACATTGAGATGTTTTATATTCATGTAATACAAGAATAACTGACTAGCGTAGTGATGGGGCTGTGGGAAGATGGAACTTACCGCATGATGAGTGTTACTACAGGAGGGCATAATGATGCTGAAGCTAACTCATGTGGCTGAGTTACGCGTTTTTGAACACTTTGCTACATAAAACTAATAAATCATTGGGATTTACTCAAAAGTAGTTTCTGCCCCTACGTCATGCAGGTGTTTACGCAACGACCTCAGTGAGAAGGCTTGTTTTCATTCGGTGTGTTCCGGTGAATGAAAACAAACCATCACGGAACGCACAGTGGTTCACTGCTGCTAACAGTCACGCATTGTTTCATGTTTTTTGTTTTGTATATCTGGCTGGGGGGTACATCGGCGGTGTTGACTATTGTAATGTTTAACTTATATATATATATATATATATATATATATATATATATATATATATATATATATATATATATATATATATATAGTTGCAATAGATATATTCTTTAGGAGGCGGAGACGTATAATGAAGAGTAAAGCCAGCACTGGTAAAATTCATGAGTAATTGGGGAGTGATAGTTTATGAGAGACTTCCTCCATCATCAGGCAATCTAAAACAAATGAAGCTGAGAGTAACACACGTCGTACAGTGCAATGTAGACAATTACTGGAGGCACCCAACTAGCCCCTTGTGCACGGGGCCCTGCTGTATAAAATTTTCTGGTGTTAGCCAAATAAAATATTAAAAGTGGCGTCTCTGTAGTGAAGGGGTTAAAATCAAATAGATATTGAACATAACTCTAAGTAACCAGAACCGAGTTTTTCAGTACACCACTTGGCTCTAGTTACTTAGATTTATGTTCAATAACCAATTAATTTTGAGTTTAATTATCTGCATTGTTTGTAAGTGTCCTCCTCTCAGTTTCATTTGTTTTAGATAGCCTGATGACGAAGGAAGCCTCTCAGAAACTACACTATGCAATAAATCATGATGTTTTACCAAGTGCTGGTTATACTCTTCATCATACTGTAGTGGCACAGGAACACAGGCCCGTAAGTTATCCCATACCCACACTGTTGAGCACTACATACACACCCCCACTGAACGTCAACACCGAGTTTACTGTCTCATTACCAAACATTTAGGTTAACTCCTCCCCCACCTAGGCCTGTCAGACTCCACCTCTCTCAAAATAATATAGTAATAATTGTCATGTTAATATATGGATCATCGGTACATAAAGATGATACATTAACCCAAACTAGTCATATTATTCGTTCTGTCTGCTGTACAAAATTATGATAGGCCTATAGTTCTTGTTTATCAGTGATGGAAGTATGGTTATAGTTTAAGGGCCTAAGCTATCCTAGTATAAGGTAGTCCTAAGTTAATACTCTTAAGTGTTCGTATTGGTAGAATTTATTTCTGTATGATAGTTTCCTGTTCTCTGGCGTATGTAATTTTTTTAAGGATTATATCTTGTTTTTATTATTGTTTTCGGTTCAAATTTACTTTTTTGTTTGGGTTGAATTATATCATTTTGTTGTTATTTTATTTCCACGCACACAAGTCTTTTCTTGCTGTGATTCAGAGTGGCATAACAGATGATATAACAGGTGCTTGATATAACAGTTGCCAACATAACAAGAGCGAATACCGCGCTTGTTAACCTTCAACAATAGCATAGGGTCACCTCCCCCACGGCTTCATGTAGCACTAAATCCACCTGTGTGTTGTTCCATTATCAGCAAGCTCTCCCAAGTGTGTACACGGACTAACATACACACAACCAGATATAGTATCCTAGTCCCCTATAATACTCTAGCGGGGGGGGGGGTCTCGAACCATTGTCTTTGACCGTACGGGGTGAATAGTAATAAGAACATAAGAATGGAGGAAACTACAGCTGGGCAGTCCCATTTACACCCAACCCCTATTGCTCATATATCCATCCAACCTAAGTTTGAAGCTATCAGCGTTTTCGAGTTAACGATGACATTTGGTAACTTGTTCCATTCATCCACTACTCTATTTCCAAACCAATGTTTACCTATTTCGCGCCTAAATCTAAATTTGTCTAATTTAAAACTATTGTTACGAGTTCACTCCTGGTTGTATAGTTTGAGTACCTTTGTAATGTCCCCTTTGTTTAGCCTTGACTTCCATTTATACACCTTGATCATATCGCCCCTACACTCTACGTCTCTCGAGGGAGTGCAAATTAAGATGCTTTAACCTGTCTCTGTACTCAAGGTTCCTAATGCCCGTGATTAGTCATGTCATTTTCCGCTGAATTCTTTCAAGGATTCTATATCCATTCTGTAATACGGTGACCAGAACTGAACTGCGTAATCCAGGTGTGGTCTCACAAGCTCAAGATTTAGTTTTAGGATGACCTCGCTAGTCTTGTAACTAACACTCCTTTGTATGAACCCAAGTACTTTATTAGCCTTGTTACGAGCAAAAACACATTGTTTACTTGACTTAGGGTTCCTACTTATCATTTTGGTCACCGTATTACAGAATGGATATAGAATCCTTGGAAAGAATTCAGCGGAAAATGACATGACTAATCACGGGCATTAGGAACCTTGAGTATAGAGACAGGTTAAAGCATCTTAATTTGCACTCCCTTGAGAGACGTAGAGCGAGGGGCGACCTGATAGAGGTGTATAAGTGGAAGGCAGGGCTAAAACAAAGGACATTACAAAGGTACTCAAATTATCCAACCATGAGCGAACTCGTAACAATGGTTTTAAATTAGACAAATTTAGATTTAGGCGTGAAATAGGTAAACACTGGTTTGGAAACAGAGTAGTGGTTGAATGGAACAAGTTGCCAAATATCATCATTAACTCGAATACGCTGAATAGCTTCAACCATAGGTTGGATGCTCATATGAGCAATAGGGGTTGGGTGTAAACGGGACTGCCCAGTATGGGCCAATAGGCCCGCTGCAGTTTCCTCCATTCTTATGTTCTTATGTTATTAGTGTGTTTATGTGTTTGCAAAATTCACATATCAGTGTTAAGAAAAAACAACAACATAAGGAAACATTACTTCTCTTTTAACCTTTATGATTCAAACTATAAAAACAGTTATATAGAAATTTTTTTAACTATTTAGTAATATATGAATCATTAAAGAGATGAATTGAGGGGTGACTATTGGAAAGGTGGTTAAGGGGAGGAGGCGTAATAAGCCCTTGTGGTCCCCTCCTCCCTTGATGAAGATAACAGGGGAGATGAAGCACCGAGGAACAGTGTGTGTGTGTGTGTGTGTGTTAGGTTGACTTGTGATGGTGGTTATCAAGTGACTGTATTGTTAACCAGTGACTACAACGTTAATTGTTTATGGTTAACCAGTGATTGTAATATGTGAACACTGATGGTAAACCAGTGACACGTCCTGTTATTATATGTAGAGAGATTATAGTGTACTTGATGGCATATATCTTACGAGACATTTGGTATTATTCTCCTGTGTATATATCTCTCTCTCTCTCTCTCTCTCTCTCTCTCTCTCTCTCTCTCTCAGTAAGATCAGACTATATTCATCTCTCGTATTTTCTTCTTCTAGGTCCGTGTTTTTTTTTGGGATCGTGAATGGTGGTGTCATTAGGCCAGCTGGAGTGTGCTGCTACGTGACGCTGAAAACATTACTCTCTGGGTCTTCGTCTCTCTCTGCCACCCGCTCGCCGCCTCCTCACACTGACGGGAATGAAGAGATGTTTTTTTGTTTCTTCTTCTTAGTGGGAATTAAGTTGATGGTTTCCGAAGACGGTGAAGCTTAGAACAGTCGTCTCAGTGTTGTTAGAAGGTATTTTACAAGAGTGTGTGTGTGTGTGTGTACGTCGTCGGTAATATCCCCAGAAGAAAAAAGTTTGTGTGCTTGTTAAGAAACTTTGGTGGGTGTTCAAACTGTCTCGTAAGCTTATTTTTCGAGAGGAACAGCAGTGTCGTAAGTTTTATATATATATATATTTAAGTGCAGATAATAATCGCTCGAAATTCCTCATCATAATTTAAAGTGGATTATCGGGAAAATTTCAGAGTGCAGATACTAGAAACTACAGCAAAGGTAAATTAATAACTAAAAACTACATAATATTGGATTTCATTGATATATAAAATACCATCGAGAAGTAAAAGATATTGATAGTTTCTTAATCTTCTATAGAAAATGACTTTGATTTTAATTAAGGAACGAATAGACACTTTGTAGTACTACACGTTGACAAACTTCTGAAAGTGTTTGTGTGTAAGATTCCAGAAACTCTCTCTCGGTCTCTCTCTCTCGACCTCTGTGGTGTACGTACTGCCGGGAACGTGTCTCGAGTTGTGTTTATCTGGCGAAAGTCTCGTCAACTTTTGTGTCGGGACCTCGATACTATGAACCAGTGTACTGAACCTCGATAATATAAACCAGAGTAGTGAACCTTTATGTCATAGACCAGTGTTATGAACCTCGATAATATAAACCAGAGTAATGAACCAGTGTACTGAACCTCTATAATATAAACCAGGGTAGTGAACCTTTATGTCATAGACCAGTGTACTGAACCTCGATAATGTGAAATAGTGTACAAAATCTCGATAATATGAACTGGTGTAATAAACCTCGATAATACAAACCACCAGTATAATGAACCTCGGTATTACAAACCAGTGTACTTAACCTCGATAAAACAAACCAGTGCACAACCGAGACATCACTAAATTGACCGTGTAGAGTGAACCTTGACCTACAGTAGACCAGCCTGGTGACTCTTAAAACACTTGGTTAGATTAGGTTTTCCAAGTGGTGAGTTTAATCGTGATCATATTTAGGAAAATAATATTCTGAAGAGGTTATTAATATTTTCAAGAGGGAATCAAAATCATACTGGGAATATATATATATACAATATAATCTGATGTATTTTATTAAGTGTTGAGTGAGGTGTTGGAAAGGTGTTGGTTCGTCCTGATACTGAACCGAAGCCTTTATGAAGTAAGTCGAGATTGTGAACCTTTTATGAAGTGAATTGAGACTAATAAACCGATACCTTTTATGAAGTGAATCGAGACCGAGGACAGTTTCCACCCGAGTGTGTCTGGAATCGAGCCAAGTGAGATCAAGGCGGTGAGGTGAGGCAAGGCGAGACAAAGGACACAAGAAGGTTATCTGGCACGCCCGAGTATACAAGACCAAGGACAAGATGTGGGTGTTCCTCTGGCTCCTACTGACGATGGTGACCGCGCAGCAACAGCAGGAGAACACGTGAGTATTTTTTTTATTTTAATTTTTATTTTTGGTACAGGTAGAGGTTTAGTTTTATTTTCCAGATGGTTTATTGGTTTACTTTGGTCATTCGTTAGTGCATAGGTCAAGGTAAGGTTTATATATATGTGTGTGTGTTTATTCTTGTGTTTTAAAGTTTTAAGTGAAGAAAGTTGACTTGTGTCTTCATAAGTGTTAAGTGTCGTGGATCAACTCGTGTCTTCATAAATGTTAAGTGAAGTTAAGTGTCGTGGGCTAACTTAGAAATGTCTTCAGGTAAGTGTTAAGTGACTGAAGTATGTATCGAAAACAACCCTAAGGCGATAAGTGGAGTCGTAGATGAAAAAAACAAAATAAAACACAAAATAAAAACACACCAAGCTTACTAGAATCACCACGTACTTTAAAACCCTTTAGACTTATATAGACTAAAATAATACCTTTTATGTAAATCAGTTTACTCCCCACTCCCCCCCCCCTGCCTTCCCCAGGTGAGAGGTGGTTGATCAGGTGAGAGGTGGTTGACTAGGTGAGAGGTGGTTGACCAGGTGAGAGGTGGTTGGAAGTGGTTGACCAGGTGAGAGGTGGTTGGAAGTGGTTGACCAGGTGAGAGGTGGTTGACTAGGTGAGAGGTGGTCGGAAGTGGTTGACCAGGTGAGGGTGGTCGGAAGTGGTTGACCAGGTGAGAGGTGGTTGGAAGTGGTTGACCAGGTGAGAGGTGGTCGGAAGTGGTTGACCAGGTGAGGTGGTTGGAAGTGGTTGACTAGGTGAGAGGTGACCGGAAGTGGTTGACCAGGTAACTTTGACGAGTCTAACATCACCTGAAGAGAGAACATTATTAGTCGTCTGATGAAAAAAAGAATCTTGTATTTTAACTTCCAGAACTCAGTTATATCGTCACGAGAATCAGTCTAAAATCTGGGGAAACTTTGGAAACAAAATCTGGGAAACTTTGAAAAAAAATCCTATCCTTTGTAAGATTGTAATATACTTAATCTTCCCAGTATTACGTAGATGAAACAAAAATAATTCGGCCGTCACACACAAATGATAATAAGATATACATTCAGATGTTAATGTGGCATATATATGAGGCTGTTTTGACACGAGGTGAAATGTTATCAGTACCATTGGCGCCGGGGAAGAGAGCAGTCATGGTGGTGGTGGGGTTGGAGGCTAGGAAGGTGAGGTTGGGGAGGGCTAGGGAGGAGGTTGGGGAGGTAGGAAGGAGGTGGGAGGGTAGAAGGTGAGGTTGGGGAGGGGTAGGAAGGTGAGGTTGGGGGTGTAGGAAGGTGAGGTTGGGGAGGGGTAGGAAGGTGAGGTTGGGGAGGCTTGAAGGTGAGGTTGGGAGGGCTAGGAAGGTGAGGTTGGGGAGGGCTAGGAAGGTGAGGTTGGGGAGGGCTAGGAAGGTGAGGTTGGGAGGGGGTAGGAAGGTGAGGTTGGGGAGGGTAGGAAGGTGAGGTTGGGGAGGGTAGGAGGTGAGGTTGGGGAGGGGTAGGAGGTGAGGTTGGGGAGGGCTTGGAGGTGAGGTTGGCGAGGCTAGGAAGGTGAGGGTTGGGAGGGCTAGGAAGGTGAGGTTGGGAGGGGTAGGAAGGTGAGGTTGGGGAGGGTAGGAAGGTGAGGTTGGGAGGGGTAGGAAGGTGAGGTTGGGGAGGGGCTTGGAAGGTGGTGGCGAGGGCTAGGAAGGTGAGGTTGGGGAGGGCTAGGAAGGTGGAGGTTGGGGAGGGGTAGGAAGGTGAGGTTGGGGAGGTAGGAAGGTGAGGTTGGGGAGGGTAGGAAGGTGAGGTTGGGGAGGGGTAGGAAGGTGAGGTTGGGGGAGGCTAGGAAGGTGAGGTTGGGGAGGGGTAGGAAGGGAGGTTGGGGAGGGTTAGGAGGTGAGGTTGGGGAGGGCTAGGAAGGTGAGGTTGGGGAGGGCTAGGAAGGTGAGGTTGGGGAGGGTAGGAACGTGAGGTTGGGGAGGGTTAGGAAGGTGAGGGTTGGGAGGGTAGGAAGGTGAGGTTGGGGAGGGCTAGGAAGGTGAGGTTGGGGAGGGCTAGGAAGGTGAGGTTGGGAGGGGGTAGGAAGGTGAGGTTGGGAGGGGTAGGAAGGTGAGGTTGGGGAGGGGTAGGAAGGTGAGGTTGGGGAGGGCTAGGAAGGTGAGGTTGGGGAGGGGTAGGAAGTGAGTTGGGGAGGGGTAGGAAGGTGAGGTTGGGGAGGGTTAGGAAGGTGAGGTTGGGGAGGGCTAGGAAGGTGAGGTTGGGGGAGGAAGGTGAGGTTGGGAGGGTAGGAAGGTGAGGTTGGGGAGGGCTAGGAAGGTGAGGTTGGGGGGGTAGGAGAGGGGTTGGGAGGGTAGGAGGTGAGGTTGGGGAGGGCTAGGAAGGTGAGGTTGGAGGGCTAGGAAGGTGAGGTTGGGGAGGTAGGAACGTGAGGTTGGGGAGGGTTAGGAAGGTGAGGTTGGGGAGGTTAGGAAGGTGAGGTTGGGGAGGGAGGCTGGAAGGTGAGGTTGGGGAGGGCTAGGAAGGTGAGGTTGGGGAGGGGTAGAAGGTGAGGTTGGGGAGGGTAGGAGGTGAGGTTGGGGAGGGAGGAAGGTGAGGTTGGGGAGGGCTAGGAAGGTGAGGTTGGGGAGGGGTAGGAAGGTGAGGTTGGGAGGGTTAGGAAGGTGAGGTTGGGGAGGGTTAGGAAGGTGAGGTTGGGGAGGGCTAGGAAGGTGAGGTTGGGGAGGGGTAGGAAGGTGAGGTTGGGGAGGGGTAGAGGTGAGGTTGGGAGGGCTAGGAAGGTGAGGTTGGGGAGGGTAGGAAGGTGAGGTTGGGGAGGGGTAGGAAGGTGAGGTTGGGGAGGGCTAGGAAGGTGAGGTTGGGGGAGGGTAGGAAGGTGAGGTTGGGGCGGTAGTGGGGGTTGGGAAGGGGGGTGGGGGAGACAGTGGTAAGCCCTGTGATGAAGTTTATATTATATTACTTAAAGAAAGTGTTAGGTAGTGGTATTATTTTACTCTGAATGTTTATAGGGGAACCTGTTTGAGTGGGTGTGTTTTTGTGTGTGTTTGTGTTTAGTGGGTGTGTTTTGTGTGTGTTTGTGTTTGGGTGTTTTGTGTGTTTGTGTTTGAGTGGGTGTGTTTATTGTGTGTGTTTGTGTTTGAGTGGGTGTGTTTATTGTGTGTGTTTGTGTTTGAGTGGGTGTTTTATTGTGTGATAATGATAATAATGATAATAATAACAATAATAATAATAATTAACGGTTTATTTAATAAAAGTTCGGCAGTTCGAAGGCTGAAAATATACATTGGACAAAAATGGCTTATTACATACAAAGACATGGGGTAGGTGGGTTCGTTTAACAAAAGCTTTCATTACTGAAAGCAGAAGGAACAATGATTGAACATACAAATTATTATAGTTTACAGTTGATGGTCCGGGCCTGGGCTGGTCATGGAGACACCAGGTGGTGAGGTGTTCACGTGGTGTAGTAACTCGTCCTCGCGTGTTAAATAAGAACATAAACATAAGAAAATAAGGAGTCTGCAATAGGCCGGTTGGCCTGTGCATGGCAGCTCCTGTCGAGAGTTACTACCACTCTCTATCATCCATGAATCTATCTAGCCTCCTTTTAAAACTCTCCAGCGTTCCAGCACTTACTACAAGTTGCTAAGCTTGTTCCACTCGTCCACCGCCCTATTTGTGAACCAGTTCCTTCCTATCTCCCTCCTAAACCTAAACTTATCCAACTTAAATCCGTTGCTGCAAGTCCTATCCTGCTCGGATATTATAAGAACTTTATCTATATCTCCTTTATTGATTCCTTTCACCCACTTAAATACTTCTATCATATCTCCCCGCACTCTTCGTCTTTCTAGGGAATGCAAGTTTAGTTTCTTTAACCTGTCTTGATATGGAAGGTTTCTAAGTCCCGGAATCATTTTCGTCATTCTTCGCTGCACCGACTCCAGCGAAATGATATCCATTCTATAATATGGGCACCAGAACTGAACCGCATAATTGAGGTGCGGCCTGATTAGTGCAAGATATAGTTGCAATATGACTTCCGCAGTCTTATTACTTACACTTTTAGATGTAAAACCCAATACTCTGTTTGCCTTATTTCGAACATTAACGCACTGTTTTCTAAGTCGTAGGTCCGGGCTTACAGTACAAGTACCCCTAAGTCTCTTTCACAAGTCAACTTCTCAAGGTTGATTTCTTTTTGATCATTGTTCCCTAGTTCTTCCCCTACTGTGATATCTCTGATAATATTTTCTTTTATTTGTTAATACTAGGTCTAATATATTGTCACCTCTAGTAGGTTCTGTAATTAATTGTTTTGAAAAATTGTCCTGTACTGCGTCTGTACTGTTGTCCCAGTCAATATTTCTGAAGTTGAAATCCCCCATAATGCACAGGT